TTTTCGAAATGATAAATTTTATAACAAAAAACACATAGATACAACCAGACATCAGCCAGAATAAGCCAAACAGCTATCAAGCCGAATCTAGCGAGAGGAGTACACACGTAGGTACGTCCTAGAATTAGCCAAACTAACTCACCCACTATCCACAAACTAAACTAAACTAAACTAAACACTCCCACAAAAGAGAATCAAACTTCTACAAACTGCTAATTGAAAACAAACTGCACTTGTTTGGCCTAATTTGAGAATTTGACCAACAGATAATGTCATAACTTACAAAAATCCCTAATTTGTTATCCAATAGACCGGTTTCCCTTGCCAGCCCAGATGGTCAACTAAACGAGTATTTCAACACCTCCAACTCCACTCATTCGTCATAATAAACGAGCCAAGTTCCAACCCACTCGACTGCTCACTTTGTTTCATATAATTGCCTTATCCACCATAGAAACAAATAGGCTGCCGCAATTGCACCTTCATGACTACACTAGAAGAGCCCTTTTGTGCTGCATTAACTAAATTTTAGAGTTAAATACAATATTATATAATCTACTCATGCTGCATGATAACTGCCTCTTCCGCTATTATCCAGTCTTCACTGCCAGATTTTACTTGATACGACGAGTCTGCACAGTTCTGAAAGAGATCAACCGAAGCAAATTAAAATTCTAAAACGGGGAAAAATAAAAGAATAAAAAGATGGTTGAAAACGCAAACTTCGGGAAAATCACAAATATCATTCTAGATGCTTTGTGTAATAACAAAATTTACTTGCGGGAGTAACAAATATAAACAAAGAACCGAAACAATGAGAAGATTAAATAAATAAAGAAATAAATAAACAGAAGGTTGCAATCAGCAAAGCCATTTGTGTTGTAAAATCTGATGTCAAACTAATGTCCGCCTTTCATCCTTCACATTATTTACCTTGAACTCTTTTCGTATTTACCTTGGAACAAGTGTAGACTAACAAAGTCATCCAATTAAATTTCTCTAAGGATGTCCTCTGGAAGTCGTTGGTGCTTGCAGAAAGTGTATCAATGGCGTCATCAACTGTAGTTCATAATGCCTTTGTCCACCACAGAGGTTACACGTCCTGGGATTTTCCATTTCTTCAGAAGGCAATAGAGGCTTCCCACCATAGGAATATCTGGGTGCCATAGTGAAAAAATAAAGGAAAATGAGAACTACAAGGCTATTAAAAAAACAAAAAAAATCAGCTATAGCAGCCTAAAGAAAGTATTCACTTATACAGCATAATAACAAAAATGGGCATGAAGGTTTATCCAATTTATCTACAAAAATAACAAAATAAAACACCAAAAAAAATCCAGCTGCCTAGTAAACCGTCCCTTGAGTTACATATATTTCAAAATATTGTCCTCAATTGATTGACTTTGTAAAGTAGAAACATACCTCCATTGGTGTTCGTCATTTTGAAGTTACCAATTATAAAACCGTTGGTATCTGTGTAATTATCCATAATTTTTAACAGGATAAGCACGATTGAATGATTTTGAGGAGCTTTTTACCTGAAACATTGCTCTGGGTAAGCATCCACTCGTTTCTTCAATTTCAGGTAAGTCCTGTCGGCACTCAATGCTCTATCATATTCGTAATTCTCTTCTTCATATGTTTCTCTATTTGACTGATCTTCCAAAGTGTAATCACACTCTTGAATCGAGAGCAAGGAGGCCTTGGAACGCTTGTTGGTAACATTTTTTGATAGTTTTTCGTCTAAAGGGTATATGTAGAAGCACGGCATCACTGTAATGAGGCAAGGAGAGACTTGAAATCTTCAATTAATTGAAAATGAAGTATGCACATCATTCAGGAAACAAGTGGAAAAGTGAAGATACATAAATATTGTGGGGGTATCAAGATCAGCATTTGGTGAAAAGGATACTACAAGAATTATCCTTAGCTCTGTGGTAATTGAAACAAAAAAATACATAAATAAATAAACTTATCTTTCGAAATTACAAAATCTGTCGACATATGCTTACATTGTTCCCAATTAATTATACTACATGCATAAAATCATAATTTATCTTATCAAATTGTAAAGCTGAAGAAGAGAGAATTGAAATTAAAATAGATTAAATTGATACATATTACTTCACATAATAAATCATGAAATGTCATATATAACATTAAATACAATAAACGGAAACAAAATAGAAAAGCGTAAAAACTCAAAAAGAATTTAATCTTATTTTGATGTTTCATCACACATTTAAATAATAAATGGTTCTATAAAAAAACATTATAGAATTCAAGCCTCCACATAGTTAAAAAATGTCATACCGACCAGTGTAGAGCCTGAAACAAACCTGTCCGAGCTTAGTATTAAGCCAAACTGGAAATAAATTTATCGATCATTTGATGGATCGTGGGCTTTTTTGAACTGTGTAAAGCTACAGAGAGTATTGCACGTTTCCAACACTTACGAGATGTCTTTCTGTTTGTCCCATTTTTGTTGCACTTTTCGTTATTGTTTTACCTTTCTTTTCCTCCCGTTTTGGATCTTTTCATAGGTTTTTCGGTTCATCTAGTCGTTTGTCTCACATGTTTGCCTATATTTTGCTTTTTCCGTGTTTTTTGTTGTTTTGTCTGTTTTCGTGTGTTTTCTTGTCTTTGGAGGTCCAGGTTCGGATCTTTGACCAGGCATTTCTATTCAGTCGAAAGAGAATGTGACCTTCCTGATTTTACAAAGTGCATTTTGCGAGAGTCTCGTCCAAGCCTGAAGAACCAAGCCTGAAAGTCGACCTCCGGCAGCCTTCTTCAGCTTGTGACGAGCCCGCCGCCGGAGAAGAACCAAGCCTGAAAGTCGCCGACGACCTTCCTTCTTCAAGCCTGAAAGTCGCACGGACTTTGTCGACGGCTTCACCCTCGACCGCGGCTTCCAGATATTCATCACGACCTATCCCGAGGCCCAGAAGCTTCTCGACCACACCGCGCTCGACCTCCATGGGTTTTACTCCGGCGCCCGGGTTTGCTACTGCAGCGGTTCTGCATCTTCAGAGTCGCTATTTGTCCGCCGTGGGCTCGGTTGGCTTAAGACGGCGGCGACAGGAGCTGAGATGGGCAACCCATGTAGATCTGCTTGAAGAGTTTGGGGGTGGGGTTGGGTGCTGGGGGTGGACTTGAAGGATGATGCCCTCGATCAACGCGAGGAGGTGGCGGGGACCACGACGGTGACTAGGGAAATTTTCCGGCTTGCGCGCAATTCTTGGTGGAGGCGGATGGAGGCTAGGGTTTTGCAGAGTTGGGGCAGGGATTTGCTTAGAAAATTTGATAATTGTTGGGATTAAATTGCAATTTCAAAATCTTATAAGTTATATCAATTGAATCCTTGGGGTAAAATATGTAATTTATTTAGAATTTGAATAACTACAATATAACCCTTAAGTTTTTATATCATATAATTCATGCACATTTAGTTTATTTCTTGTGCATATATGGATAATACACAATGCATATCTTTGTTATAAATAATGCATAGTTAATTGAGAATAAGAAACACATATTTATTTCATAATGCATATTTAGTTCATTCTTTGTGTATATTTAGTTCATTTATTATGCATATTTAGTTCATCCATAGTGCATATTTGTCTTATTTAAATTAAATATATAATGATGCATATTTAGTTCATTGATGATGCATATTTAGTTCATTGATGATGCATATTTAGTGCGAAACGACTAGAATGAATGTATACTCCAAAAAGAAAATGGGGGTACTGTGCTTTCCAGAGAGATCGAGATGCTATGTCCAAAAGCTTCGGGGCACCTAGGACACAAGCCTATATTTACCGAATTATCGTGAGTCGTTATGCCCTGCCTTCTTAGCTTGATTCATTTGAGCAGATGTGGGGGATAGAGACGAAAAGGAACTTCACCAGCCTTTCGGTTCAGGCACTTAGTTCTGGAGCCCGATTCGAGTATCGCGGTCAACTTAATGGAGTGCATACTTCAGATGCCATCAAACAACTGCTTCAGCGAAAATACGAAATGCATATTTGTTATATTTAAATTAAATATATAATAAAGCATATTTAGTTAATTCATGATGCATATTTAGTTCATACGAAATGCATATTTGGTTCATCCACTGTGGATATTTGTTATATTTAAATTAACTATATGATGATTCATATTTAGTTCATTGATGATGCAGATTTAGTTAATACGAAATGCAGATTTGTTATATTTAAATTAAATATATAATGATGCATATTTAGTTCATTAATGATGCATATTTAGTGAATATGAAATGCAGATTTGTTATATTTAAATTAAATATATAATAATGCATATTTAGTTATACGAAATGCATATTTAGTTCATCCACCATGGATATTTGTTATATTTAAATTAAATAAAATTGTGATGCATATTTAGTTCATTCATGATGCATATTTAGTTTATCCATAGTGAATACTTATTATATTTAAATTAAATATATACATGTGCATATTTAGTTCATTCATGATACATATTTAGTTCATATGAAATGCATATTTAGTTCATAAACATATACTTAGTTGATATTATTGGTGCATATTTAGTTCATAAGGATTGCATATCTAGTTCATATAAGGTGCATAGTACTGAATGCATATTTTCTTCACATATAATGCAACGGGTCAATGCCGGAAGCCAACGGATCTCGCCGGAAGTCAACGGCCAGGAAGTCAACATTCAACGTCATAGTCAACGGTCAACAGTCAAAATAATATTTAAATAATTAAAATAATAAAATAAAAAATTATTATTTAAATAAAGAGTTTAATATATAACCATGGATGCAGACATCAATAGTGGTTTTTGTAATACTCAAATTTTGTTTGCTTGGTTCTATCACTTTTATTTTTGTGCAATACTTGGGCTAACCCTCAAGGGAATTTTCGTAATCATCCTGGGTGGAACTGAGGACGAGATAGATTTACACAAACAGAATTCATCATTCAGAATTTGAACACTACCTGTCCTCCACACTTTGATAAAGGTAAGAGTACCACTGAATGTATGAGTCATGGAAAACTTTTCGTAAGACAGAAACCAAAAACATCATTACATAAGGAATTAAAGTGGTCTAAACAAGAAAAATGTTACCGTGAATTTTATCATTTGTAGGTCTAGCTGCTGGCTGAAACTTGGGCAGTGTCTCTCTACTCGACCCAGCATCATTCCGCCTTGTTCTTGTAGTCGTCAAATTTGCAGCTTCAGAAAAAGCCCTGGCCAACTTGTCCATATCCATGTCGTCATCATCATCACTGTCACCATCTTCATGACCTGACTCGTCTCTAATGTCAAGTGACCACAGATCCTCCTGCCAATTGTTATTTGAAGCAGAAACAGATGTGGGCACATGATTTGTTTCCTTGCTTGTGATCTTTTGAACTCGAATGGCACGCCAGCTGTAAGAAGAATGAAAATGAGATAATAATGGAGCCTTTGCAACAAACTTAAGCTTCAACGAGAAGTGGTTTATTGACGGCACAAAAAAGTTCTGAGAATCAAAAGTTGGAAGCTAAAAGGTGAACAAACTAAAGGAAAATGTTCAGTGGAAAAGTTCGTAGTTTTTTCTTTTCTTTCATTAGTTTGTAGAAATCAAACTAGAAGCAGAATAGTTCCAAAGTGACAATTGGTTGCAAGAAGATTTTTATTATATAATGCATTTATGCTAGAAAAAATTAATGTCCCCAAAATGCTTACTTTCACCTTTTTCTTCAAACTAATATTTACCATTAAAAAACAGTAGTCTTTTTCGGAACCACTTCCTTAAGAGTTGCATTACTCGTAATTCACATACAAGATTTCTTCCTCATATCTAACTACAGCCTCAATATTCATTCCTTTTCCTTTATATGAGAAAAGTTATTGACATAAATGCATCAGAAATTCTATGGCGCCCATATGGGCACCATATGGTACCATAATCTTCACGATCTAACGCCTAATATTCATTGTGGAATTGATGTTTAAACAAATGTAAATCCCAGCAATGAAAATAGTGCATGCATTATGGTAATGATGTTTAAACAAATGGAAATCTTGCAATTTGAAGAGAGGCAGATGGAAATAAGTTTTTGATTTTGCTATAATCCCATCCTTGTTTTGCTATATATTTGGGTTCTTTCCTACTTTGCTCTACAATTCAACGGTGCCTGGTTGGTTCTCCACTTCCATATGTTGCTGAAATTTCAACATCCCAACTCAAATACGAGAATTTTTGTTGACCAATATCTGTTTTTGGAGTGTTTCATTAAAAATATTTTTAAGGACATTTCTTGTTCTCTGACTTTGAAACCTTTTATATTTGTTGTCATGATACAACTTAATTAGGCGTCTGGAATGTCTGGAATGCAAGTATACCGATTCACAATACATAGTTTCTTCCCTTGCCTTTCATAAGAGAGGGAAAATTCTTGAATTGCCTGGTGACGAAGGATATACTTCACTTTGGCCGTTAGATCATTTCCCCCCAAAGTTGATGAGTGAAATTTGTATCGATAAGATCTCCATTCAAAAAGTTGATTTTGTGACATAATCAACTCATCGTCTTATATGATCCAAGGGTAAATCTTATATTTGCATCATCTGTAGCTTTTTCTCTCTTTTCCGAATAACTTGCATTGCTATCTGACAATTGAATATAATGTGCTAGAATATAATGAAGTTTTATTTCAACGAGTCTGGAGATCCTACAATAATAGACTTGAACTTGGGCTTCGACGACGAAGATGAAGACCTCGAGATGTTCGCCCTAACACAGGAACATTGCCTTATTGCATGCTCGCCATCTTCTATTTTCTCACTAATTTATTATATCCATGATATTTATATATATATTAGATTTTATATTTCTGTTTCAGTGTGTTAAATTTGCATTTTCAGGTTGATACGAGGGACCCACATGTGCAAATTATTAAGAAATCTCAACATTATATTACTGAACTTTGAACTTGCAGTACATGACAACATAGTTGTTGTTCCTACGAAAGACAGCTATGCTCGTATCAATGATACACGAATGTCTATATCACCTTTCACAAAGTTGCGTCCCGATGTCAGTCCCGATGTCATTGGCGATAGTGATACAGTTGAAACATTGAGGTTTTCGGTCCATGGGGATAAAACGAAACCAAGAGCTCCCCATGGACCAAAAACCTCAATGTTTCAACTGTATCACTATCGTCATTGACATCGGGAGACAACTTTGTGAAAGGTGATATACCTATTCGTGTACCATAGATACGAGCATAGCTGTCTTCCGTAGGTAGCAACAGCAACTAAGTTGTTATGTACTGCAAGTTCAATAATGTAATGTGATTTCTTAATAACTTGCAGATGCGGGTCCCTTGTATCAACTTGAAAATGAAAATTTAACACATTGAAACAAAAATAAATATATATATATATATATATTTCATATATATATATATATACATATATATATCCAATATATATATATAAGTATATGTATATATCCAATATATATATATATATAAATATATATCCAATATATATATATACTTGGAAAATAGAAGATGGCGAGCAGGCAATGAGACAATGTTCCTGTGTTCGGGCGAACATCTCGAGGTCTTCATCTTCATCGCCGAAGTCCAAGTTCAAGTCTATTATTGTAGGATCTCCAGACTCGTTGAAATGAAACTTAATTAATTTCTAGCACATTACATTCAAATAACAATGCAAGTTATTCGAAAAAGAGAAAAAAAGCTACAGATGATGCAAATATAAGATTTACCCCTAGATCATATAAGACAATGAGTTGATTATCAGTGTCTGTCACAAAATCAACTTTTTGAATGGAGATCTTATCGATACAAATTTCATTCATCAACTTTGGGAGAAATGATCCAACGCCCAAAGTGAAGTATATCCTTCGTCACCATCCAATGCAAGAATTTTCCATAAGAAGACAAGGGAAGAAACTACGTATTGTGAATCGGTATACTTACATTAGAGACGCCTAATTAAGTCCTGCGTATCATGACAACAAATATAAAAGGTTTCATACTCAGAGAACAAGAATCAGCCTTGGGTCCTTAATTACTGCAAAATATTTTTAATGAAACTGTAACGCCCCACTTTTATTTGCCGAAAATCAGAATACATTTTTCAAATTTATTTCGAAGCACCTGAGGCGTTACCCCTTTTTAAAACGGACTTCAATACTAACCAATTTTTCAATACTCGATCATTCATCAAACTCAATCATCATCAATAATACTAACTCCCAAAAACGGGTTTTCCAAAATTTCATAAATCATCACCCAAACCGGGTTCCAACAATATTCATAAATTCTAAGGAGCATCTCCTTAACATTATTTAGTCATAAAATCCAAAATTCATAAAAACAATAATACCCCAAGTTCATAATCATAAACCAGTTCATAAATGCGGAAGCATAACAAATAATAAGGCCAGTCTTATAGACCGACGACCACTCGCTCTACTCCGCCGTCGTACCTGCCTCGCTTAACTAACCTGAAACGTGAATTTCAGGTGGGGATGAGCACAGTTGGAAAAAGTAGTGCTCACCACTATGCAGTAAACATTATTCGTAATAATGAAATAATAATCAATAATCAAGAAGGTATGGTCTCAGCATGTATACGAATCAATTAATTATCCCAATCTCCTATCAATCATATCTATAATAGACTCATGCGTACACCTATAGCAATAGACTACTGTCGAACTATATACCGAACGCCTTATCTAAGGCCTTACAAGGAGTGTCCGGCCAGTAGGAGTATCCCGCCGGCCAAGGCCTTAGTCTTACCAACGGGGTTGTCCAGCACAGGGACCTTTAACCCAGGTCTTACGGCTCAATATGTGTCCAGCACAGGGACCTTTAACCCAGGACTTACGGCTCAAAATGTGTCCAGCACAGGGACCTTTAACCCAGGACTTACGGCTCAAGATGTGTCCAGCACAGGGACCTTTAACCCAGGACTTACGGCTCACAATAATAAGGAGACTACCCAACGGGTACGTTCTATAGATACGGGGATAACCGTTCGACGGCCGGTACAGCTCACATCGAAGGCTACATGGTTTACATGCATACTTTGATCATACCAAAATTTAAAACAGTAATAATATTTACAGCATAGAAAATTTTTAAATAAAACCCACCTGGATACCGAAGTAGCAAATAGCACACAAAAGCTTGTAGGAATGCGAGCTCGACTCGTCAAACACCTACATTTAATAATATATTTTTTTTATCTAATTATCAAGGGCGACGACAAACAGAAAAGGGACAATTAAACACCTAAGGCAAATAAGACAAACAACGCAATTAAGACAATAAACGAATTTCTAGCAAACTCTATGCATGTAAATAGCATCTTTAGCCTTTAAATAAAAGGTAATGTAAATATCCACTAAGACACTGAATATTGCTAAATGTAAAGACAGATATTGCAGGTGGCTGAAGCCATATCTTTGAGCATTACTAAATATCCGAAAACACCAATTTGATTACATTAACACATGGAAAACGTGATGATGCTTTGCACCATGGTAAAACCAAATCTTTTTCCTCCAAGCCTTACAAACAAATCATATATTTATAGAATCATCAAAATAGATCCATAATTATCTCTACATCAGCAGCATCACAGTACAGCTTTTCTATAGATTTATATGTTACCAATTCTTACAAGAAATACTAACCAAAAACACATGGAATCTATCCAACTAATATATCCCAAAATAAAAATAAAAAAATGATTAACCAAATCAATTAAATTCAACATAAGTCTGTACAAATCCTTAATTATTGATTTGAACTAATTCTACTAATATACGAAAATATCTTACCCAGATTTGTAATAATTAACAATTTATACAATCAGATAATGGCAAAGTATTCGACAATTCAGAACTCAGTCAATTTACTATATCATTTCGAGTCCAGCAAAAGCAGAATCATCAAATAATCTACATAATTAACATGCTATACATCAATATAAAGCTCAGCAGAAATAGAGTACACACGGCCAGCCCTCACATTAAACAGAATCGGATTTCAAGGTCCAAAATTTCACATCTCCACAAGGACCCAACTTCACGAATTATCTTCAACATAAGCAATTCATATTCACTTTCAATAACACTATCATAATCCAAGTTAAACAGGATGACTTCACAATATCCAAAATTCACCATTTAAACACATAAATATATATCGAAATCCAAAGGATAAGCCATAATACCTCCGTAAATAAAAATAGAGAAAATTCGGTTTTTGGCTCCCGGTTTGCTGCAGCCCGACAACCCGTGACAGCTGCCCGACCCACACAAAGGCTCGGGCTGAATGTGGTCGGCTCGTCTCTGCCGCTGCTGTCCGGTGCGTGCACGGTAGGCCTCAGATGGTTCTTCTCGGCCCAGTGCGAGACCACAGTTAGTGGCGGCTGAACGGACCTGAAACGGGACTCGCCTCGGCTCGCGGTTGCCGTCTCGGGTGGCTCAAACGACGGCGGTCGAACAAATGTTGCTCACAGTTGAGGTGCGGCAATGGCTGATCGAGTTTGTTCTCCGCGATGTGAGTTGTTCCTCCCGGACGGATCTCTGTTTCGTGCGCTTGCTGGGATGGCCAATACTCCTCAGAGGCAGAGGGTTTCTGCTCTCCGCGTGCGATGGCAGCTAGGTGACGGAGGTTCTCGAGACGACCACTGAGGCGCCAGCGATGAGAGGAGTTCGCGATGGTTCTGCTCGCAGAGGCTGTGGGACAGAATTTCTCGTCGGCGGCTGGCTGGGCTCGACGAATAGGGGCTTCTCGCGGCGATGGATGGTCGCAGATCACGGCGGTGCTAGGGCTGGGGTGCCTCGCGGCGGCAGCTGCAATTAACGCCGGCGAGAAGAGAGGGGTTCGCCTCGCGGCGGAAAAGAGAGTGACGGGGAATGGCTGACGAACAGGACTCCAACTTTTGGTGAGCGCGGGGGGCTGCTCTGTTCAGGGTGGTGGTCGTCGGGCATCGTTAATTGGTCGCGACTGTGAACAACGGCGGCTCAGTGCGCGGTGGCTGGAAGGCGGAGGAGATGAGGATGATTCTGGTGGGGCGATTTATGAGGTGATTTTCAGAGTTTGAGAGAGAGAGATTTGATGATGAGGGACAGATCGATGGGATCTCGATCTGGTTCTTCCCGATGAGAAACCGCGTGAGGAGAAAACGAAAGAGAGAGGGCTGAGGTCTTGTGTGCGTTTAAAAGGAAAGAGTTGGGCTTAGGGTTGCTAATAATTGAGCTAGGAACATTTTGCAAAAATAGCCCAAATCAATTAAATCATTTGGGCCGAAGGTTCGGGGCTGGTTCAGTTACGGGCTCGCGGGTTCAATGAAGTGATTCGGCTCTCAGGCCCGACTCGACGTAGCGTTAAATAAGGTTCTTCTTGGGCTCGATAAATTGCAATATAAATAAACAGGGTATAATATATATTTATAATACACACAATTTAATTTATAAAATAATAATAATATTAGCAAAAATACAAATACACATTTTAGTTAAATAATAACATTTAGACAATTTGGCAATTAATCATATTTAGACAATTAGACATTTAATTCGCAATTTAACAGATAAATCATATAGACATTTAATATTTAACATCTAATAAATAACAATAACAAATGAAGGCAAATAATAATAATAAAAATAAATAATAAATAATTCTCAAATATTCAATAATGAAACGGGGCATTACAGAAACACTCCCAAAACGGATATTGGTCAACAAAAATTCTCGTATCTGAGTTGGGATGTTGAAATTTCAGCAACACATGAAAGTGGAGAACCAACCAGACACCGTTGAATTGTAGAGCAAAGTAGGAAAGAACCCAAATATATAGCAAAACAAGGATGGAATTATAGCAAAATCAAAAACTTATTTCCATCTGCCTCTGTTCAAATTGCAAGCTTCATAGTGGAGCATTATATCACAGTGGAGCATTATACCTAAGGCTCCGTTTATTTCCTTAGATATCTAACTACAGCCTCAAAAGAAAAAATCATCACTATTATGTAGACAGATGAGAAAAATCCCAGCAAATCGTATTTGGTAGCAACCTAAAGCATCTCTGTCATTAAATTACGCAACATACAAAATCAGAATCCATCAATCATTTTCTTTATATACGTTCTAAATACTCCTCAATTAGACCGACAGACAGAAAAAACTGATTCGAAAAACAGTAATCCCACATTCGACCTTAGAAACAAAACTACAATTGCAAGAGAAATTTGAGGAAGGACCTTACAAAGGACTCTCACAATGTGGGGCCAAACATCCAAAAACATAGATAATCCGCTCGTTTATTGCCAATGATTCACTTGATATTGGAGCATAAACCTGAGTATAAATAACATAAAAAGCATTTTCAACGATTGTGAATTTTCATAGGAGAGTGAGTAAAGATTTTACGATGCTAAACCTGTGCAAGGAGACAAAGATCAATCCCACAAGTATTACATTCGAGCAGACTTTTCTTCTGTTTAACAATAGGAATGGGCCAGTCCTAATCATAGACATAGAAACCTCGGATTATGAGGAGACAACACATTACAGAAAAAAAAAATGTAATTGGCTCTTTTTTCCAAATTAGATTGATCTACATACTGGAATCCCTCCAATTTTTGTCGTGTATATGTCAGCTCTTTCATAACTGCTATCAGCCCATGGACCTGGCATGCCTAAAACAACTCCATCCATAATTTTTCTGTTTCTGATCTAACAAGATAACATGAGAAGCCGTCAACATACTATATTAATACTTAACTACTGGATGAATAGCACGGGCAGAACAAAAAGAAAGATTTTTGCACTGATATATATTTGAAACTATATTACATCAAGAAATAACAGTAGGAGAATAAATTGAAGCTTTCAGGTCCAAACTACTTGTACCAAAACCCATGTCTATATGATCAAGTTACAGCGTTAGCATATTTCCTGAAGACTAAGAAAAAGAATCCACACGATGCAACATATTGGTTCTTCATTGTCCAAATTCATGATAGATTTAACTCACAACCACACACTTCATCAATAACTATAATTTCAGACAATCCTAAACATAACCCAATTCCAATCTTTCAGCAGAAGTCGTAAAAAGATGAACAAAATCTTTCGACTTGGATAATTTATCTGTAAGCCAACAGAAGTCCTAGCACACAGAGAAAATGCCAGATTAGAGTCGTACACAAAGGCCACATCCTAAAAAGTCAGAAACCAAACTACACACTGCACAAGAATGCGACCCACTCGCACATTATGTATGTACACATCTTTTACTTCACAATTAAGATTTCACGAGAAATGTATCATATCGTAATTCAATAATTAGAATATGAAAAGAAAAGAAGGTATATACAAAACAGAGGCGAAATGGAAGAGAAGGAAATCAATAACTGAACTAGGTACTCGTGAATATCCAACCATATAATTACCAACAAAAGAAATCAGCCAAAATTGAAGAAGAATAAGAAGACTAAAGCTCCCCTACCCGCCGTTTAGCTCAGTGATTAAAATAGCGCGCCATGGCGAGGCGAGGCGAGGCGAGGCTTTGACGCCTCATACCCTTGAGGCGAGGCGGCCTTGTGAAAGGCGACACCATGGCGTCGCCTCGGATGTAGCGTAGCGTAGCGCGAGGCGACGCCTTATGAAAGTGAGGCGAGACAGTGCATTTTAGGTATTTTTATACCTAGGGTTCCATTGACGGGAGATTAAAACTTATCAATTAACAAAAAATTACTTACCAAACTTTACCATGTGCCTTTTGTTCCACCGGCGACGGCGACCAGATTCCTGCAGCTAACCGGCGACGGCGAGCGGTATATGTTCCAGTTTTTCCTTTTCTTCTTCTTTTTCTTTTTTCCTTTCTTGCTTCAGTCATTCTTCACCAGCACGGCAATAATGCCTGTTGTGTAAGTCTCCGGCCGGGAACAAGGGGGGACTGGGCTTAACATTTTTTTTATTTTCTATCTTATTATTTATTTTGTTTATTTATGAATGTGGATCATTAACTTGTTTTATAATGAATAGGAGACATTATATTATTAATTTTAATTGCGAATTTGGCATAATGTGGGATTGTGGGGTGGGTTGATGTTTATTTTAATTGGGATCATGTGGGTTGATACTATTTCTATTTCTAGTTTGTTTAATATTGTTTTTATTTTAATGTGTGGTGTTTCGTTGCATGTTTATTAGCTATTATAATTATAATTTATTTTTATATACATAATTGTGCCATAATTTGGTAAAATATCACATGTACATATATTTTTGCCTCGCTTTCATAAGGCGGGCGCCTCGCCGCACGCCTCACGCCATGGCAAATCGGAGCCTTGTCGCCTCGGCTCGCCACGCGCTATTTTAATCACTAGTTTAGCTCAGCAAAACCCTACTGTAGGAGTCACGAGGCTTTCATAAGGCGGGCGCCTCGCCGCACGCCTCACGCCATGGCAAATCGGAGCCTTGTCGCCTCGGCTCGTCACGCGCTATTTTAATCACTGGTTTAGCTCAGCAAAACCCTACTGTAGGAGACACGAGGCTTTCATAAAGCGGGCGCCTCGCCGCACGCCTCACGCCATGGCAAATCGGAGCCTTGTCGCCTCGGCTCGCCACGCGCTATTTTAATCACTGGTTTAGCTCAGCAAAACCCTACTGTAGGAGACACGAGGCTATCTGCAACACGCGCTGTTAAAAGTGAAAACTAGGGTTGATCATGAATCAATGAGATTCAGAGAATTCTCCGTTCCGAAAATCGAACAAAAATCACTCCGAACTATAAAATAATCGTTGACCGTTTGAATTCTTTCGAACTAAACTGAACCGATAAATAATTGGTGTGGTGTTGGATATTTCACAAACATCCATACGAGAACCGAACTGAATCGTCTCATACCGTACCGAATCAGATTATAACATTAGATGTGTGTTATTAATCAAGGTTGTCAAAACCGGACCGGTCATCGAACTGGTGAAACTACTGGTTCAATGATTTATTGATTTATTGGTCGGACCAGTGGTCAAACCGGTCGAACCGGTTGAATTAATATATAATTTTTATTTATTTTATATGTATAAAATATAATTGTATAAATTTTTATCATTGATTTTATAGGGTATAATGACATTTTTTCTAAATACAATAATAAATTAATAATTCAAAGTCTAATGCAAGTCAACTCAAATTGAAATTACAAAGACAACGGCTGATAGAAACAAGAGTAAGAAAAACACCGTACAGGGCCGGGAGGGACAGAAAACGACGAACGAGAGGAACTCGGGCACAGGTACACGCTGAACGGTTGATTGGAGATCACCGATTCAAGACCGAAGGTGCGACTGAATTTCTGTCGAAATATGGCCGGAGTTCGCGGCGTGGTTCAGCACTGGAGAGTACATATGCGACCGCACGGACCAACACAAACTTCGAATTGGACGGAGGACTGACAGGAGGGTGGAGTCGCACAGTTGCCGCGATGGAGGCGGAGATGATAGGGTTTGTTTGGGTTTTGGATTTTCAGATCAGGAATGAGATGAGAGACTGAAATTGACAATTGTGGTATTTTTTTTATTTTTTTTTCAGTGTCAGCTTTTCAATGTTTATTTTTTAATCTTCTCAATTTGGGCTTTTGGACATTTGTTAATTGACCCTTTAGTGTTAATTTTGCCTTCTGAAACGTGTTGGACCATCTTTAAAAATCAAAGAGGAAATTACCTCCCACACTACACGTTAACATCTTTATTGCATATTTACAATTCATACATATTTATTTGCAAATTAACTAAAATTATCATATTTATTTGCAAACATACCAGATTATTGAGCAATAGATAATGTTTTTAATTATGGTAAAAGCAGATTTAATTAAAGCTATAATTACCACGATATCTCCCCTCTCTATTCTTCTTCTCTCTCCCGCTCTCTCTCATCTTCTTCTTGCCGCTGTCCTCCTTCTCCCAGCGCTCCTTCGCCCCGTCTCCGTTTCGGATCTGTTAAGAACCAATTTTCGGCCACATTTCCGTTCATAACCCACCCCTCATTTCTGATCATGCGCCTCCCCAGTCCCCTCAACTCCTCAAAGGCTCAAACCCTAATTGCCCAAACTCCACAAAAAATCGCCTCGGTCCTCTGCCCGTTCGCTGCCATCCGCCCTCGTCGTGCACCTCTGTCGCGCACTCAATCTCCGCCGCCACCATCTCTCAGTCTCTCAACTGTGCCGTCCCTTTGCCATTTCGGAAGGTTCATCACGACGGATTTCAGACGTGCCTTGGTCGCACTGCACCATCCGCCCTCCCCGTGCGCCGCCGTCGGACACTAAATCACCGCCCCCCACGCTAGTCTCAATCGACGCTGCCCCCAACACTCAGTATCGCCCCGTTAGTCAAGGTATTCTGATTTGGGACTTTCAGTCTTTCACACTTCTCGTTTGTGACATCGGTTATATGAACACTCCAATCTTTTGATGATTTTTCTGTTCTACAAGGGTTACTGACTCTGAAATATTTGATTTGGTTTTGGAATTTTATTTTTCTGGAATTTATATGTTCTATATGGTTACAACACAATAATTATAATTAAAAACAGATTTTAAAAAGAATGGCGGAAATTGACTTATGTGGTATGTTTATTTTCTTATTGTCACTTATGTCAGCACAATAACTATAATTCATTTGACTATGCTCGTACATGACAGAATCACCATGGGGTTGGTGTTTTTGTATCTGTTGATGAAGGCACCGCGAAGAAGAGGTGGACATAGTTCGGGTCCACAACCAAATACGTGCACAAGCTGAACGTCGTGAAAGTGGGCCTGCATCGTTTATTGTAGTATATGTTGCGTGTATAGACATTATATGTTCACAACAATATATATTGCGTGAATAGTCAGACAGTATATGTTGCGTGTATAGGCAGTATATGTTCAGTATATGTTATGTGTATAGGCAGTAGGCAGTATATGTTCAGTATATGTTCAGTATATGTTATGTGTATAAGCAATATATGTATAGTTTATAGTATGCATTTCTTTTGATGTTTTTTTTTTGCAATAAGTAACTTGTTACAATTTGTATATAAACTATATACATACTTTTATGATTTTTTTCATTAATTTGTTGTGTATATGTATGGTTTATCTTTTAGTAAAATTGTTTACAAAGTATAAAAATAAAATAAACAATACGCAAATCCCAAATATACTACAAAAAATTCAAAAACTGATTTAAAATAAGAATAAACTGAATTTTTTTTGTTGTGTATATGTATAGTTTATATACATACTACATTCATCATATAATGAATGAAAATCATCATAGGCGACTCCATCCACAAAAATATCAAAAACATATCCCCTTTCCCCTTTATATATTAAATCAGAACGCGCTGAGCCTACGTGGTTGCTTCTGGTGCTTCGGAATCCTATGTGGCAAAATTAAATGCTTCGTTATTAGGTTTGGGTAAATTTTAATTTAATTTCAAACCAAAAATAATTAGGTTCGGATTACCATAAATATGTTGATTATTTAAGGTCAAATTACATGTATTAATTGCATTTTAATATCATTCCTTATTATAACTATTGAATTGTATATATATTTTAAAAGTTAATAACTTTTGTATTTTTTATCAGTTTTACATATGTAATATATCAAATTAATCATCTTTTGATGAGTTTCGATTTGACATCCATATTGTATGTATAAAAAAATAATTATATTTATCTTTATAACAATAATAAAATTATTTTTAATATTAATTAGAAAAATAAAATTATTTGTCAACTAATATATTTATATTTCAAGTACTTATATGATATAAGTTATAAAAAAGTGTGGAAACTTGCTTTCAATTTGGTGATAAACCAGAAACAAGACTCGTTGCGTAATTCACAGATTTTTGTTTATTCAAATTCATATCAAATTATTTTTTGAAAGACATTTTTTTTTTACTCTAACCGTTAATCTTTTAAAAGATTTTATTTACTCGCCGTTACCACGTTTTAGGAAATCCCGTAACTGACGGAACTAAAGCTGGGAGAGTTTTTATTTGGTGAGATTTTTGAGATTGGGTGTGATGCTAATTAAAATGCTAAAGGTTCGTATATATCCTAATAATATTGCAACCTCGTATATTCACAATAAAATAGCAAAAGTTATGTTGTTATGTAAATGACCCCAAATCAAATCATACATCCCAGAACATGTTGAGCTTCTGAACGGTCCCGATTTTCCCGTTTTATCGGTTTTGGACCGGTTCAGACGGTTCAATCCCGGTTTGACCTTCTAGCGGTTTAAAGTCCCTAACTGGATCGGAGAGAAGGCCGGTTCCCAGTTCAACCGGTCGAACCCGCCGGTCGGGTCCGGTTTTGAAAACCATGTTGTTAATACATTTTATGTGAACTTTGATCCTATATAATTTGAGAAATTTTAAAATACAAACTAAATTTCATACTTACTAATATTTGATCTACAATTAAATTTTTCATGTTATAAAAAAATTATTTAAAATCTATATATATATATATATTATTGTTGGCAAGCGTCATTTAATTTTATTCAGACTTCAATTAATAATGATATGAGTTCATTTAATAAAAATAGGTTGCATTTAATAAAAAAAATTATGACCTCCATCCAAAAACCGTTGCAACGTATTTTTTTTTCTTTTAACTTATTCCATGCAATCATCCATCTATTTTTACTATATTTTGAATTTGTAACGGTTGCATGCGATTACCATTTTTTATAATTGTTGCATGGTTACGAGATAATGTTTTAACCCTTAAATTTGAATGGTTAAAAATATTTTTTTTAATTTGTATGTTGACTATTTACATGCAAAAGAATTAAGTACTGATATGCTATAGATACAATGCAAAATAAATATTAGAAAAGTCATCTTTTGTAATAGAAATCTTTACACTCATTCAAATTCAAATTTTTCATGCAAGATTGTACACTATATTAATTGAATTTAATGGAAAATAATTATCCATTTTATTTTATATAATAAATATAGTGATGAATTTGGATACTTTTATGATGTTCATTTTTACTAACGATAAAAATTTTAAAAGGTGATACTATTATTTAACTTATAATTTTACAATTATACACATACATGTAACTTATAAGTTATAATAATTTAAATTTTTGTGCATGTGCACAGGATCAAATACTAGTATATATAATTGCTGGTAAACTTTAATAAATTTTATTCAGCCAGCATTTAATGATAATATGAGTTCATTTAATAAAAATAGGTGTTCATTTAATAAAAATATGTTCACAATTTAATAATAACTTGTTTTACCCAGTGCATTTTTACGAAAAACGATCTAATAAAAGAGAAAGTTAGAATAAAATAAAAATCATAACTTAATAAATGAGAAAAAAAAATCATTTAAAAAAGCTCCCCTGGGTTGCGTTGGACCATCAGTCGGGCTGGACCACCTCCAAGCAGGGTACGCGCGTGGAATCCATCAGCCAGGGAGTGGAGGCGCGTGAGGGCGCGTGGGCTGCCGGCACAGCGGCGGCCGACGGCAGTTGGTTGCTGGAAGTGCGCCGATCGCCGGAGGATGGTCACCGGAAGTCGCTGAACACTCTCACTATATCCGGTTGACACAATTCTATCTTTTCGTGAAGAACGGACAACCCAATTACGGGAATGAATATATATATATATATTACGGGGTTGGATAAATATATATAGATCGCTCGACAACCTCATATCTTCTGTTGTATTACCTGACATCTCATCTGATCATTTTGGTGGGCGATAGATCGGAGATATCTCTACTGGGATTACTTGGAGAAAAAGAGAACACAATAGAGAGAACAGAGAGACAGAGGCAGCGTGAATCTGTTCCATCGTGTGGGGCGTGTGTTTCTATCTCTTAATCCCTAATCCCAAGAGATGTGATGTATTTATAGGCTACAACAGGAATCCATACGCATTCTCCTATTTGGATTAGACTATAGGCCAAGCCTACCAAAACCAAATAGGAATAATACAGTCACTCCACTAAAGTAGTATTATTGAATAAACTCTCAATTTAATTCCTGAATTATATTCGAGTCTCCAATAATAATTACTCGATTTATCTCCCTGTGTTTAAGATATAATGTCCATCAATGAATTTAATTACTGATAATTAAATTAATCGACATCTATAACTGAGACTAGTACCACTCATCACATTCTTATTATGTCAGAATAAATTCCACTGCCCAGATTTAACATAATAATCCTTCATGAGCTCATCTCGGGGACATCATCAAACTAACGCACACGGTGGCCGTAAATATTCTAACAGCACATCGTACATACAATAATATTACCCAAAACATTAAATATATTGATCCAGTAGACTGAATCTCACCCAAGTGAATCAAAGTAAACTGAATCTCACCCAAGTGAATCACTGTTTGTGTTAACAGCTATAAGGTTGATTACCCCCGGAAACGTTGTAGTTGTCGAAAGTGGCAGACACACAGGAAACCTTGCTCTCATGCAATAGTTGTATGTCGTGCAATTGGGGCTGAT